TCACCTGCCACTGTTCGACATTTAATCAATATTATATCATCTATTATTGATAATGTGAATTATGGTCAACCAGTTGTTATTACTGCAGATCAACCAGTATTTGCGATTGCTAAGCAACTTCAGTGGAAATACCCTGATCTTTATGGTGAGGATAAAATGATTATAATGATGGGGGGACTTCACATTGAGATGGCTATTGAAAATATGATTGGAAAGTGGTTATCTGGAAGCGGTTGGACCGAATTATTTTTCAAGACTGAAATCGCAAGTTCTGGACGTAGTGAAACGTTGCTTAAGTCTTCACATGTTAAAAGAACTAGATACGCTCATGAAGTTAGTATTGCAGCACTTTACATTCTAAGAAACAACGCATATAGAGATAACCAAAAAACGGCAGTGGAGTCTCTGGAAACATGGGTGGCTCGAAGATGCAAAGAATCTGCTCAGTTTTTATTTTGGCAGACGACCATAATTTTGGAGGGCATATTACTTAACTTTGTTCGTAGCATACGTACTTCTGATTTCTGTTTATTTGTCCAAATGCTCGAAGAGCTTTGTCCTTGGTTGTTTGCTTTAGATCTTATTCATTATTCACGATGGCTTCCTGTTTTCATAAAAGGGCTCAAAGAACTACCAGTGCGACACCCGCAAGTTTATGAAGCATTCCAGAAAGGTCATTTCACAAGTAGAAAAACTAATGCTGATTTCTCCGCAATTTCCGATGATCAATTGCATGAACAAAATAACAAACTAATAAAAGGATGTAGTGGAGCTATCAACAATTTGCATAATAATGATGCTCTTCTTAAATGGATGGTGGCCGGTCCGGAAATCTCACGAATGATACATGATTATGACCAGATTCCAGTGCACAATTTGTCTAATAAAGTTCCAAATCGGTGTCATCATGAATGTTCAGCAAGCTTTCAATCTCGATATATTAGTCATGTTTCAAAAATGGTTAAATATATGCAGGAAGACGGCAATCCATTTTCTGAACAACTTTTGCAAACTATCGACAACCAAAAAATTTTAATGTCTCAATCTGCAGAGAACTCCGTTAGACAAGCGGAACAAAAAGGAATCAAGCAATATGAAAATTTTGTAAAAGAACGTTTAATTTTCGGTCAAAAATCTTTTTATGATTCATTGTCTAAAAACAATTTTGAACTATTTCATGGCCCTAAAAAGACATGTACAAAACTAAGCTA